GCCACCTTATGTCCAGGTCTTCCACGACGTAAGCAAACCAGCCCTTTTGGCGCTTCGGCTGGGACCGTATGCTGAATGTTGGGGAGGGGATGGAGTCCCCGACGGTGGACGGACAACTTCAACTCGGTCCTTAGAACCGCCACAATTTGGTGCTTACCTTAGAACTAAGCCTTAAAGAGAGGACGGGTCCGTCCCCTCTCCAAGGCTTAGTCCAAGGGTGAGCAGACCGGTCCTTCTGGCGAGCTACTGGACCAGCTGCACCACTTGCGTCAGTACTCTCCTATCGTACCAACCGAGTTGAAGTAAACCGTCGACCGTTGGGGACCCCATCCCCTCCCCAACATTCAGCATACGGTCCCAGCCGATGTGCCAAAAGGGCTGGTTTGCTTACGTCCTTACGGCAGCATGGCCACATTTTACCTTGATCAACAGCTGGGTGCTCGGCGTACAGCCCGGAAACGCACTAACCACATTTCTGCTGGGCTTCAAGGCCCTGCTGTTTTACTCTGTGAAGAAATCCCTGTACATAAACGTCACAATTTGTTTTAGAACTTCGACTCCGAGCAACGAAGAAAGATTTGCTGCACTCTACGGTTCATTGCGCACTACTACGGGGCTCACCTGATGGTAGGTTCAGATTCTGCTGCTGCAATTAATTGCCATTTGGCGACGCCATTGATTAGTTCTTGATTTATTCGCATAGCGGGGCTTTTTTGGGCGAAGTAGATCAATCGATTTCAGTTCTATTCATGTTACAATGAGCAGCTAGTGAAATTGGGAAGAGGTCTATTCAGTCATTTGGCTTTCGGAACCTCTGCCTTCCAAAGGGAAGGTTGACGACCACAACAGACCGATATACGTCACGTCCGGAATGGACAACTTTGAGGTGGGTCCACTTCGCAGTCTGGCTGACTAGGGGAAAGCATTGGATTTCAGTCCATCGGACCACCTCCAACTGACACCGCCTTCATTTTCTCGAGCCGCACAACCGATTCATTTGTGGAAAAACGCCTTTTGCGACCACTTCAACCAGAAGGTTCGACATTGCTGCATTTCCTACCCATACTGAAAATGTTCCCGGAATCACCCATGATTTACGCAAAGTGGCGAATTATTTCAGGATCGTGAGATTACTGACAAATCCAGTGATGAGCAACAACTATTTCTGGAGCCCACGATTGATAATCTGGTCGCTCAAAGAGAAAAGGTGAGTACAGCCTCCACTAGAGACTAGGCTAACCGAAGCACGCTTTATGCGGTAAGTGCACTACTCAAAGGTGAATAATGCCGATAGCCACTGGGAAATAAGGACAATATTTTCGTGAAAGTATTGAAGTTAGGATCAATGCGCTGGTGGCAGAATCTGGCAGTGAGCCCAAGTGATGGTTAGAGGTTAGCAGCAGGTCGATCAACTCCCTTCCTGGGTCAGGTCAAAAGAGCATTGAAGCCTAAACTTAGGTTTCGGCTCAGGCTTACGCTTACATATTGAATTATGCTCAAAGCAACAAACATGGACCACTTGGTGGGTAACAGTCGAACGACGAAATTGTGGATGCCGATTTGACTGAAAATGAAAAATATGCAAAATAGATCGCCGATGAATTCCTAAACAAGGGCTCCTTCTCTTCTCCTTGAAAATGAGAAAGAGGCTATGTCTGGACGAGTTTTCTGAACTTGCTTGCTCGCTGCTGCATAACTCCGCGCGATGAATTGCCCGCTACATCGTAATCCCAGGGCCGTATGCGTCCCGCTCCCGGAAGGGGTTTAAGGACGAAAATTCCTTTAAATTTTCTCTGTCTTCCCAACTGGGATTACCCTGATAAAAGGCCTACATTAAATGTATGTATGTAGGTTAAAGTAAACATGCATTGAAAATGAAGAACTACATCGTTCAAAGCAAATAAATTTAAAGGAAACTTTGCGTCACCTAGCTTCGGGGAAGGATAGCATACGGCCCCATATGGTGTATTAAGGGGTGTGCGCGAGAGTATCTCTCCCATCAGCTCGCACTACCTACTTAGTGAGGCCATGGCGCCATAGCCATGCACTTTCGAACCGCGACAACGGCACAACTGTAATGCTCGCGCCTATACTTTTCTAGATAGATTGTTCGACACGACCTAAACACCTAGGCTACCAAGGTTTTCAAAATCGGCAAAATGGAGGAAAGATGACCTTGCAAAAGCTTTCATCATTATTGATGATGATCATGACGTTATTGGCGCGGTGCTCTACATCTTACTTTCGTGCACCACAAAGAAAATTATCGCTTTGAGGTACAAAGCCGAACCCTGAAAAGATGGCTGTCCAAAACTACTGAACCTAATAGTAAAGCGCCTGTGAAAAATTCGTTTATTCAGGACTTGGAAGTTTACATTAAACAGAGAAAGGATCGACAAGCAGCAGAGGCACGAGCGGCACAGAAAGTGACATCCATTTAATATCGAATTCACGTATCACTGCGGAACATCACATTATGTTTTTTCTCAATGAAAAGTAGAAGTCAGTGAAATCTTATTATTTTTTGCAGGGGATCACACAAACACAAATTATTGATTCGTGGGGCTCGTAAAATCAAAATTTTCGGAAAATTCCGTACTAAATAGATAAGTCAACATGTGCAGCATTAGTAGCAGTCATGAGTAATCTTACTGTGAAAATAAATAGACTCGAGCAGACATTACACCCGCCTTTGTATTGTCACTTTTTCTTGAGCCATCTTGGGGCTGAATTTGCTTTATGAGGAGGTGGGCGAAACTCTGAAGATGCAGAAGTCATTGTATCACCGGGTCTCTTCGCCGTGCGCTCTTCCTCCTCTATTATTGCTGTATATGGCTTGAATATAGTGTTTTCTGACAGCCTGAAATCATTTGAACATGAAACTACAAGCACATGCACTCAGAAAAGGCACATTGCGAAGAAGAGCACTTCAGAAATCGAAAGCGATCACAAAGGGTGAAATTTCCAGTAAGAGTTGGATGGAGAAAACATATGACTCAATTTCGATGACTAACCAGGTGGAGCACAGCTTGTCCGCTTCATCTTGAGTACATTCTCGAAATGAGTCTCGTAACAAAATAGTCTCTAAAGACAGTACATCTTACCGGTGACATTGACAGAGGTTTCAAAAAGGTATGTACCGAAGATCACCGAGTCCTTGAATCTGATTACCACGGTGGATTTGGGCGCCAAGTCCGCATCAACAAAGTTCTTCGAAGTAGACTCTTCGATCTTATAGACTAGCGCAAGTTTTAACGAAAACGGTACATCACGAGATATGATAGAACGAATCCATTCAAAAAGCCGTGAAACTGGAATGAAATATTTTAATATACATCAGCATGTGAGAAGGAACAACCCACCCGGTTCGGCACTTTGAAATTGCGCCTGGATCAATCTGTCGTTGCCGACGGGTATCCTGATGACTGTATGGCGATAGGCAGCCAACTTCCTTTCTCTATTCTTTTCTTTCACATACTGTGTAGGCACAAGAGCGCGCTGAGTGTTGAGGCGGCTGAATAGCACAGTATAACGATAACGCAAGAGACGGCATTAATTCGAGAACAATGAATCGAGTTCACACAGATTGGAATTAGAGAAACACAAAGAAGTACTTCGTGAAGAACAATCTCTTTTGGGAAACGAACAGCATCCTCCTTTCTTTCAAAATCATGAAGAAATTTGAGAGGGAATACGATTTACACTTTCCTCGGCCCTTCGAGATTCGTTTCAGGTTCACCAATTTGTCCCTACAATTTGGTGAACCTGAAACGAAATTACCTCAATTTACGCAAATAATCGCATTTTTAATACCTCCTTGTCCCCTGTGTTTATGTGTCTTTCGAAGATGCCATGGCCGCTATCTTGAGAACGTGCTAAAGTGCATAGCCAATAAACTCAGTACATAAGCGAACTTACACATCTTC